CTATGTGCATTAGCCATACTTTCACGCTTGTGTTATGTTGATAGTAGTATGTAGACACCAAGATATCCTCATCACTTTCACACTTTTATTTAGTTAATGGTCTTAAAATACTATGTATATTAGCCTTACTTTTATGCTTGTGTTGTTTAGATAGTATTCTGTAGACATCAAGATATCCTCATCAGTTTCACACTTTTTTTTTAGGTAATATTATGAAAATACTATATATATTACCCTCATTTACTCTTGCATGGTTTAGCAAAAGTCTTTAGATGCCAAAATATATTGCTCATTTTCAAACCTGTGTTATTTAGTTAATAATCTGTAAGTACCAGGAATACTCTCCTCTTTTTAACACATGTGTTTAGCTACTATTCTGCATATAGCAGAAATATTCTTCTCACTTCAATACATGTGTTTATTTAGTAACCTGGAAACACCAGAAATATTCTTCTCACTTCAATACATGTGTTTAATTAGTAGCCTGCAAATACCAGGAATATTCTTCTCACATCGATACACGTGTTTAGTTAGTAGTCTGCAAATACCAGAAATATTCTTCTCACATCGATACACGTATTTAGTTATTAGTCTGCAAATACCAGAAATATTCTTCTCATTCGATACACGTGTTTAGTTAGTAGCCTGCAAGTACCAGGAATATTCATCACATTCAATACACGTGTTTAGTTAGTAGCCTGCAAGTACCAGGAATATTCTACTCACAATACACGTGTTTAGTTAGTAGTCTGCAATATATTCACTCTACTTTATTGCTTGCGTTGTGTAGTTAGTAGCCTATAAATAGCAATTTATATAGATACCAATATATTCACTCTACTTTACTGCTTGCGTTGTGTAGTTAGTAACCTATAAATAGCAGTTTATATAGATATCAATATATATTCACTCTATTTTATTGCTTGCGTTGTGTAGTTAGTAACCTATAAATAGCAGTTTATATAGATACCAATATATTCACTCTACTTTATTGCTTGCGTTGTGTAGTTAGTAACCTATAAATAGCAGTTTATATAGATACCAATATATTCACTCTACTTGATTGCTTGCGTTGTGTAGTTAGAAGTCTGTAGATACCAGAAACGTTCTCTCTCATGTGTAACTCTTGTGTTGTATAAAACAGTCTTTAATTACTACACTTTCACAATTCTGTGTGTTTTGTACATCATTATTGAAGTTAACCCTCTTGAAAAAGTAATGGATCCCATTTCCCCAAGAGATTGGTTGGTTAATCTAAGTAGTAACTTTGCAGACAATACATGTACGTGTAATTTCTACAACAAAAGAAGAGATTAGACACAGACATTTAAGAAACTTTATTACGGATTTTAAATAAAATTTATCATGTTTTGAAGAAAATCAAATGTTGCACAATTTTCATATTTTGTTTGCTTAAAGAGAAATATATATATATATAATTACTTGTAAGCAATATATTACTTTTTTCACACATATTTTCTACAATAAAATAAACCTTAAGTGACTATTCATTTAACAGCAGGTAAAGCAACTATATTCTCAATTAAATTTATAAAGACCACACTGTGACAGTTACATCGTTATATTTCTTTGAAAAGTGATAGGAATATTTTGAAAATTCATGCTTAAACCACGCCTTAGTGTTCGATTTAAATTTATTTTCTCCCTTAAAGCTGCTAGTACCGCCATTATTAGGTTATCGTGTAAGTATATCTACTTATACTACTATACAAGTAATCAATTATAAATATCTACACGGCTAATTTTTACATCTTAGCGATTGATGCCTGTCATTAGTTTGAATAACATCATCTTAAAACTACGAAATAAGTATTCATTGTGTGCATAACTTTTGCAATTTTGTTTTTTCTCATGCGAAAAGAATCAGTCTTATATCGTTAAGAGATGATTCAACGTGGCTAAATACAGGTAGTGGCTCGGGTCCCCTGCTGGGATTATTTGGGCTCCAATTTTCTTTACTAATTTGTCTTTACTACAACCTCGCCAGCAACAACAACAACAACAGCAATTAAAACTTTTGTAGCAACTAACCTCTTATCTAGTGTGCTTTTTAGGCTTCGGGAAGTATGTAGCGTATTATTACTACTTAAACTAGTTAACATTACGGAATGCACTGCGCATACAATTTGATTGAGACTGTAAAATTCTCGTTCCATATACACTTATTTAAACAAGGTAAAGTAAAACCATAAAAAAAAACTTTGGTAAGTTGATTCATGCTAATCATTTTAACTTTAGACACTAGGTATCAAACTTTTCACTTGATGAAAATATTCAACTACTATATACAGAATAATGTGTTTGTTTTGAGTGGGTTAGATTAGATTAGATTATGTGAAGCTCGAATTGAAAAATATTTAAGCAGGTTAGTTCAGGAAAGTTGATTGATTTTTGAAAATGTTAAGTTGTGTAAAGTTTTCAAAACTGGTGAAGATTGATTTCAAAAGTCTCCTTACAGGTTATTACAAATATCTAATTAGTTATGTGTTTGTTTGTTACAGCTGAAAATAGAAGACAATATTTAATTTGATATTTGAGAGAAAGCATTGAATGTTTGCTTAACTACAGCATGCACACTGGTATCTCCCAGTTAATGATATGATCAGTCTTTTTTTTTAATTTTTGATGAACAGATACAGTGTTTGATATCTATCCATCAGTATTTTGATTTTATACAGTTTTAAGAGGAGAACTAGGGAATTATTGAGCTTGATCTAGTCTTTGCGTGCTTTTCCTCATATAGCCACGAAATAATTCAACCTCATCGGTACATGTGATTGAAGCCGAAAAAATGAATTTAAAGTCTGGTTGATCGAGCTAAAAACAAAACAATAGTTGATTGTGATGAAATGTTGTACATCTTCTGTTGAGAACAAGTGGACTTGAGATTTAAAAGATGAAGAACGTTGTCTAAACTCTACGATATGCTGTGGTATTACAAGTAATTTTACACACAAATAATTATACATCTTTATTGGCTATAATCAGGCATATATATATATCAGATATGGTCAAACAAGTTTCTTAAATATGGTTAAACAATGTTATTGAGTATGGATAAGCCAAGTTACTGGTATGTTTAAGCCAGATTATTGGCTAGAGTCAAGTAAATCTTCTGGAAATTGTCGGAAAACGTTATTGAGTGTGGTCAAACAATATTATGAGGTGTAATCAAACATTATTACTGAGAATAGTGAAGCAGTTAAATTGGATATGGTCAAGCAATTTTTCTGGGTATGGTCAAGCAACTGTAGCTGGTGTGAACAAGTAATTTTAGTGAGTTTAGTATATAGCAAATGCACTGACTATGTCAAATATATTACTGTTATATATGGAATTGTGACAAGTATGGTCTAAGAACTTGGCTGCAAATGGTCAGGTAACTTCTATAGAAGAGATTAGACAATTATACTAGATATGTTCAGACACCTTTACTAAATTTAGTCAAGTAGCTTTATTAGGTATTATCAGGTAAGATTAAAATGTATAGTTAAGAAACTTTATGGAGTGTGTTAACTTTCCTATGTGTAATTAAGTAACTTCGCTGAGAATCTTCATGGGAAAAATCAGGGAGCTGGATTTACTATTATAGACAATATTTTTAATAATTATTACACAATTCTTCCAGATAATATAATTTTACTTAAATATATTTAGTAGCATTTATCAAATAATGTTAGGGATAGACACCAGCTAACCTTACTGACTATAATCTGAATGTCTTACTCGCTGTTACCAGACTGCTATCTGGGTTCTGTTCAAACCATATTATTTGACTAGCATTAATGTCATCTGAGAGATATCAGGCAAGCCTTTGAAGTAGTCGCAGACTTTGAAAAGTCGCATCGAAGTAAAGGTAGGAAGTATAATTACTTCAATATATGTATAAAAACCCTATAATCCTATTATAGGGTTTTTATCCATTTCTACCAAGACTTCTTAAACCTACGTGTTTTTCTAACATCATGAATACTTCAATATATGTATTTTACCTTTTACTCCACAATGTACACTTCACTAAACTACGAAAGGAAAATCGAAACGTTATAGATATATGACACGACAAAATCACAGTTATATAATACTCAAGTCATTCTTCTAAGTTCATTGTTATACTAATTAGGCATCTAAAGATCAGTGAAATGGTCTGAATGCAAGTGACTGGTTATTTATCTCATGCTTTACAGTGGTCTCACACAATCGTGTCTCAGCTAATTGACACTTAAAAAGTGAATCATATAATTCGAGGTACTCCATACTGTTCATGAACCTTGACTAAACCTGAAAGAGGACATTTGGACGTTTCAATCATATGGAGGGTCATAGGACAAACGGAAAACGTCCAATCACAGCAAGTTGTTATAATTAGCTTTTTGTGTCCCAAAGTGTTGCCCAATAACAGCAGGTCGTTGCAAGTTAGCTCCATGTGTCATAAAGTGTTGTTTAATAACAACAGGTTGTTGCAAGTTAGTTCCATGTTTCTCAAAGTATCGTCCAACAACAGCAGGTTGTTGCAAGTTAACTAAAAGTGTTCCAAAGTGTCGTCCAATAAAAGCGGGTAGTTGCAACTTAGCTTCAAGTGATCAAAGTGTTGTCCAGTAACAGCAGGTTGTTGCAATTAGCTACAATTGTTTCAGAGTATCATTAGCAGAATGTGAAACCGCTTCCAACCTAATAGTGAAGTTTGGACTCCCGCAAAAGGCAAACCATTATTCAACACACAAGAAGACAACCGCTATCATTCAGTTTAGGCACCACTTCAAATAATAGGGTATATGCTCTGAGACTGAATCAGATATTGCATTGGATGCCTGGCATACAAATCAGTTTTGTATACTCTGCTTATAATTGTCTGCATGCTAGGCGCTCAATAATATGAACTCTTTTCATAAATAGATACATCGCAGCTAGTCTGTAATGGTCTCAACAACATGCCCAGTAGACCACCGACAAACGGAGTAATAACTTGTTGTTGTTGGTTTTTTGTATTGTTTTTTTTTTTTTTACAGACAAAGGTGGGTCGCGCTTCACCCTGTAACAGGAGGTGCAAACTCATCTGGAGAGAATCTGGGACAAGATTCAATCACCATCATCATATATTAGAATGTGATTCGTATGGAAATAAAGGAAGTATGATGTATGGAAGAATAAGTATTGGGTGACATATCGACATTTACATTTCGGGAAAATATGCCTTTAATGCTACACGTTATAGGGCCCCATTCTTCGACGTTTCATGCATTTATATGCAGGTGCTATTGGTCCTGAGTTCAGCCAAAAGGGTTATAATACCTGCCCCCACCGTGCTAAACTGATGGATACATTTCTCGAAAAAGAAAGGATTAATCGGATGGATAAGGCCCCAATCCCACCGAGCTTGTATGGAGTTCTCTTGAGAGAGAGGCTTTGTATGCTTTAAAGTGACTCCAAATACTAAAGATGTCATGGAAGTAGCTTTTTTTATAAGAGCGGTCTAGAACCTCTTAGAACCTTACCAACATTTTGATTGGATTGTTGCAATGACTACATTGTTACAAGGTTGCCATTGTTGTTTATCTTGACCACACACACCGAAGCGAACTATCTTGAATTGTAAAGATCTAAAGTTATCCCCACCAAATGTTCGTTTAATTGCCAGCTTAGACTGACCAATCATTTGCATTTTAGATCACATGAGGAATCATTAGGTTCCTAATTTGCATACAAATGAATGAAGGGAACGGCTGAAATTATCGTATAATAGTGTGCTTACATTCTCTTATCTAAAACATTATAAATTAAATTACTCGTAATTGCAGCGTGCTTTAATTATTAGCATGAAGGTACGATAGTGTTTACAGTGTTCAAGTCCCGTATCTTCCATGTAAATACAATAAAAAATCTGGAGTTGTTTAAAAATGTATTAGGTTCTTTGAGATACAGTTATTTTAACGGTATTTTAACTAAGTTAAGTATATTTAAATGACTAATGATATTATGATTTATTTTATATGTTTAATCTTTCAGATGCATACTTGCATACAAAGGCCTGATGAGAGAGATGAAAGTAAGGTAGTAGAGGAAATATTTCGCTATATTGTAAGATTTGTCGCATGCACATATTTAAGGTACCGTCAAGTATACATATTAGACTGACCTCTCTCGCAGTATAAACTGCTGTTGGCTGTCCACCTGTGGATATAATCGGAAGTTTAGGCGATTGAATAAGAAGGCTGAAGGAAAATGCACATGATAAATGGGTTACTAGCTATTTTGTCGGTTCTTCCTTTGTTTCGTTTAAAATCCACGTAAAAGCGTTCAGCTAACACTGCGACGAACACTAAACGAGAATATCTCAAAGGTGAAAAACAATATAAAATCAAATTTCATTTCTGTTTATCCATAAAGTATGCTCTCATTCCTTAAGCTTGTAATGTTGACCAACTATAGTGGTGATCGTTATGTTACACTGAGTTTAAATCGAAGGAACAAAACAGGAATGAAGCAGAGAAGCTGTTTGTTGAAACCTAAATCAAGATAAAAACATACAACTCAGATTATAAGATAAAAACATACAACTCAGATTATAAGATAAAAACATACAACTCAGATTATAAGATAAAAACATACAACTCAGATTATAAGATAAAAACATACAACTTAGATTATAAGATGAAAACATACAACTTAGATTATAAGATGAAAACATACAACTTAGATTATAAGATACATACAACTTAGATTATAAGATTTAAAACATACAACTTAGATTATAAGAAGAAAACATACAACTTAGATTATAAGGTGAAACATACAACGTGGAATGAGGATGTCTAAAATAGACTCAAATTTTAAAGAGCTTTGTTTAGTTAGGTTACAGATTGTACTCTTCTACTCTTTCAGATATATTTTAAAATTACACTTAAATGAAATGAAATAGCTTTCAAACTAAAAGTTTAAAATTATATACATTTTAAACTGTAACATTTAATAGTAGTATATTATAAAAATATTACTTTTCGTTGTAATAGAAATCGTATTAGTAGCTTATTTCAAAAATAGATTACCTTAAGCTATGCAATTCCACGGCATTTTGTGAACTATACTTAATAGTTGCATGAATCAGTACGTTTAATAGTAGTCTGTTTTAATTTATAAATTGTAGTTGAAGAAACATTTGGAGTTAGCTTTTACATTACATTTAAAACTATTACATCCATTGCAAAATATGTATTTCAAATTGAACGTTTCACAACACGACTTGAACCTTTAACTTCAACAACATTCGTAGTTAACTGAAACTTTTAATAGAAGTAGATTTGGAAATGTTTGTTATTGAAAACTGCTTGAGAGTGAATACTCGGCTGCAACGCCTCTCCCTTGGGGAAAGCCAGAGGAGCTTTTGTGGGGGCCACAATACAATGATATGGATTTACAGGAAAGGTAATATAGCAAAAACACGCTTTTTCCACCCAAGTTGACTCTTCTTAGCGATTTAAAAACATCATACAATTTTTAAAAATTGATTGTATAATTTCTGAACAGTTAGGAAGAATGAACTTGGGTGGACTAGAGTGAAATTTGGGGATGCACGGCCTGGCCACCTCAGCACCCCTAGTGCTGGCCCTGCTTGAAGAGTATTTTATTAACAATTTTAGAAATATACGGTCCCGATTTGCTTTATACGATACAGAAGTAAATATTTTGGTTGTTATGAAGAGTTGGTTAAAGATTTTTGATCAATATTGTCTGTGTAATCCTTAACAGGCCATCATCATCTGTATTACATGCTGGGCGGGTTCGAATCTCCGTCACACCAAACATGCTCGCCCTTTCAGCCGTGGGGGCGTTATAATGTGACGGTCAATCCCACTATTCGTTGGTAAAAGAGTAGCCCAAGAGTTGGCGGTGGGTGGTGATGACTAACTGCCTTCCCTCTAGTCTTACACTGCTAAATTAGGGACGGCTAGCGCAGATAGCCCTCGTGTAGCTTGAGGCGAAATTCAAAAAACAAACAAACAAAAACAATTACATGCTGGTGGCCTAGTTGCTTTAGTTTGTACTGGTATGCTAGATGATGTCTATGCAGAATGAAAAATTACAACATAACTGTTTTTTTTACAATTTAGGTAGAGAGTGTTCTTATACTCAATGTCTCGTAAAATCAAACTCATGGAAGACAAGCCAGGAAACATTTGAGCGATGGAATTTCTTCATAACTTTCAAGACATTTTACAGTTTTAACAATATTCAAAAATGAGCCTCGGTTCTAATTTGGGGAAACACAGAATTCAGAAAGCTAATTTTTGTTATACATCCCTAACCTAAAAAAAAACCAAAACAAAATAATTTAATGTGGGTAGAGAGCCAACGTGGGTCACAGTATAATCTGTTTCACTAAAGAGGTGCTAGAAGTAATGGTAAAATCGCTATGACACGCTTTGTTCTCTGATCATAAATTGAAAACTAACACCAAATCAATCGTAATCTAAACTCAGACTTTTTTATTTTTATTTTCAAACGACGATTCAGATGGAAATCTCTTCTTCAAGTAAGTATAGGTTAAAATCAAACTGTTCATTAATACACTACGAAAAGCATCTTTCAGGATTAAAGGTACTGATATTTTTCTGGTAATTTGGCTTGAAAAAAGAACTAACAGAAATAATTGGATAGTTATATATATACTAGATGAACAAAAATACGAGCTTGATAATCCTTTAAAGAAGCCGTATAAAGCTTTTATAATGAAATAACGGGCCTTTTAAAGTGTTTTTATGATATCTGATAGTCTCTTTACTGTTGGTTTTGATAACCAGAAAAGATAGTTGAAGTTCCATTATGAATAACATTGATCACTCGAGCTTCAGAACACGAAGAACAAATGATGCAAGCAAGGATAATTTCATTATGTACCGCAGGTTTAATGGATGGCTGCAATAACTTTCCAAACCATCTATGGAAAATATACTTAGAAAAACAATATACTGTTTCTGGTTATTTACATATTGTCTCCATAGACCTAATATTTATTTACGAATTTTTACCGAGTTCCATTTGATGCTGGGCACGTAAAAACCTTCTGTACTGAGTTACGATGCTTGAAGTACGTTATTCACTTTTCTCAAGAGAATTTTGTCTTGTGCTTTGGTGTTTTTATATGAAGCTTTAGTCAGGTAATGGAATTGTGAATAGAACTCTGCTGCAGCGCGAATCGATTACGTGATTGGAACACGTGCGTCGTGAAGACCAGAATTATATACGCTCAACTTCAAATTTTACCTGGCACGTGTTTGTTTCAATTCAATTTGCTGTGCTGTGTTTTGAAAGTTATCTTTTTCTAGGCTGTATTTATTTGTGTGTTATTCAAATTTTTCAGCTTTAATATATCAGATACATCTCTGAACACGTACTTTTCCTTATGTCTATTATTACATAGTTTTTATTATTACTACTGTGGTAACATATATGTTACTACGTACTCTTCATTATGAGTGCTATGGTAACATATATGTTACTACGTACTCTTCATTATGAGTGCTATGGTAACATATATGTTACTACGTACTCTTCATTATGAGTGCTATGGTAACATATATGTTACTACGTACTCTTGATTATGAGTGCTATGGTAACATATATGTTACTACGTACTCTTCATTATGAGTGCTATGGTAATATATATGTTACTACGTACTCTTGATTATGAGTGCTATGGTAACATATATGTTACTACGTACTCTTCATTATGAGTGCTATGGTCATATATATGTTACTACGTACTCTTGATTATGAGTGCTATGGTAACATATATATTACTAC